TGAGAGAGATACATTAGAGACACACGTGTGAGGTTTTTCTTAGCTACTTAGGCTACAAAAGCATTCTGTTATATTAGTAGCACATTAATACCAATTGACTAAAAGAAATAAAAAAGAAAACTGCAGTATGATGCTCATATCATTAAAAACTCAAAGGAATATTGTGGTATTCAAGAAACATGAAGTCTAAATCAAATTTGAGAGCATCTGCTGTGAGATGGTTTGTAGACCTTTATTCCAATTTTTCAGTTAGTCTTATCTTTTCTAGTGGAGTTGTTTGTTAAATGATATTTGCTAGTAAAGAAGACCTGTAACCCCGTGGACTACTATGAAATTTTGATGACTGGGTAGGCAGGATATTCATAGTCAAAGAGCTCTGCAATACTGCAATATATATAGAGAGCACTGGCAAAGGGTCAGAAGACTAGCCCTTCCATTTACCAACACGTCCATGGATAGATCTTTGAGACTCTCTAAGATCTCATCTGTAAAGAGGGAATGATAATAGCTTATTTAGCATTCTCCAAAGGGTTGTGAAGATCAGAGGAGCTACTGCATGTTAAATTCTTTGTGAGCTGCAAAGCTCTGCTGACTTCCAGTGTTGTTACTATTGAGTGGACCATAGAGTGGAATGCTAAAAAAACCAATGGAGGGATCACCACAATGATGCTAATAAGAGTGATGTGGACTGGGAACAGAATGCAAGTGTTAGTGCCCTCCTTCCCAGTTGCATGGGCAAGCAAAGACATTGCAGGATGTCACCCCTCTGGGATATTGCCCTACATTGTTTCCCACGGTGTTATAGCAATAACTTGAAGAGAGCTAACCACCTTATATTTAGGGAAAGACTATCTTTTTGAAACAAATACTCTTAGTGGTCTTTTTGTGGATCCAAGTAGCTCAAGGAATCCAGTGAAGAGCCAGAAGAATCATTCCTGGATCTTAAGAGACAAAGGAATAATAGCAGTAGTTTTGTTTTCATTCTACTTGTGTTAATTTCTTTTGGTATTTTTTTTTTTTTTACAACATAGACAAACTCATGCTCAAATTAATTGAAACTGTTAATTGAAAGTAGATATATTTCTATTGTATACTCTGATAATTTGCATTCATAGTCTGCATTCATTTTTTATTTTGTTTTGCTCTTTTTTGGCATCTACATATTTGAAGGCCAGCATTCTATTATTTCTAGTGCACACTTAAAAGAATGACAAACAATGAGGAGAAAAACTTCCCTATTCTAAACAAACTATCCCATTTAGATGAAGAGGTGTGGAAAGATTTGAGAATATATTGCCCATTCTCATAATAGATGTTGACCACTGACCCCTTTCTTTTTCAAGCAGCTAAAAATGATTTTAACCCATGTAAAATTATGTGTCAATTCTGTCCCTGAAAGATGTGGATGAGGCTACTAATCTGTTGATTCTGTGGCCCTGAGGAAGGGAAGCCTACGGCCCTTGAGGCACGTACACGTCAGTGTGCATGTGTACACAACAGATTGAATGCCCGAGAAGCATTTTAGGAAAGCTCCTTCAATGACTCTATTCCAGTTGTGCAGCACAAGTTGTAGAGATAATTTTGGTTTAATGTGACTTATCAGAGATGGAAATGCAATAAATGGAAACAAATGCATATCACGCAGGGCTTTGTAATGTTAGAAGAATGTGTCAGCAGGTATTTAAAAGGTTGAATGTCAGAGAGAGTTGTTCAAATTTTAAAGGAATTGATATTCAGAAGTCAAATTCCTATTTCCATCCCAGATTCAATTTGCAACTCAGCTCTGGAACCATGAAGTCAAAACCTAACAGTTACACACCTAGCCCCAAACCAGCATGTCATGGACATTGTTACTATGTTGTTGTGGAAATAAGTGGCAGAAGTTATGACTGTTTAACTGTTAGAAATTATTGGTTAAGTTGAGAAGCTGAGTTATATTTATAATATACAAGTAGCAATTGTACAAAAGTACAGATTAACAATATTAAAAAATTTGTTAGCATAAATTTATTATAAAAAAGGAGTTCATTGTGATATTTATAACATGCATATAATGTACCTTGATTGCATTCACCCCATGTATATTACTCTTTCTAAACTCTTCTGTCTCCTCCCCCTTCCTTTTTAACAGTTTTTGGTGGGGTTCATTATGCTATTGTCATATATATATATATATAGTATAAGATTAATTTCCATCATATTCTCCTTCCCCTCTTCTCCCACTCACTAGTTTTTTCCACAAATAGTCTCCCTTTAACAATCATGTGATACTATTTTTTTAGGTCTAGATTCTACATATGGGCAAAAACAGTGATAGTTTTCTTTCTGAACTTGGTTCATTTCACTTAATGTAATGATCTTCAGCTCCCTTTTCCTGAAAATAACAGTTTCATTCTTCTCTGTGGCTGAATAGTGCTCCATTGTATAAAGTATCACATTTACTTTATTCAGCCTTCTGTGTTTGGGCACCTAGACTGGTTCTGTGTCTTGGCTGTTGTGAGTAGTGCTGCTACAAAGATGGGTGTACATTTTTCTCTATTGTAGGTTGACTTACATTCCTTAGGGTAGAAAAATATTTTTTAAGAACACAGTCTATGTATTTGATAGATGTTTCCTGTTCCTTTGCTGAGGTGTTTTTTGTTTGTATATTTTTGTTGTTGTTTAATACAGAGTCTCACTATGTATCCTAGACTGACCTTGAACTCAAAATCTTCTTGTCACTACCTTCTGAGTGTGTAATTATAGGCATGTGCCTCCATGCCTGGCCTCCGGTTTGCTCTTCTTAATTTAAAATCATACTGTTGCTGAAAATCAAGAATACATAGAGTATATATGAAATGTTTCAGAGTACAATGTAAAAATATAAAAACGGCAAAAATCTTGCAGCCACATTTGTTAATTTAAGGTAGTCTATAAATTTAAATCCCAGTAAATTTAATTTTTATTATTCTTGACATTTAATTGTAAATCAGACATCTCAATTTTCTCACCTATCAGGTGTGGGAGGTATGATGGTTATGATGGTTATATGAGGGAAAAGTTATCTATTCGTATGGTTTTTGTGAAAATAATACCAAATATGGTGGTATGTTTTCAAAGCACATTGTACCTATAAAGAAGTATGCAAATAATGTCAGTATTATAATAAATATGACGTTGGTGTTCTTTTTATTTAGTCTCCAATGCCAGAGTGTCCATTTCTTTATATAAAAATAAAGGCTTCTACTTTTCATGTTTTGTCTTTTTCAAGAGATGCTTCTTTTTTGCTGTTATAGAAACTAAGATTCTTTGGATAAGCTGGGTGCCAGTGGCCCAAGCCTGTAATCCTAGGTACTTGGGAGGCTGAGATCAGGAGGATAGTGGTTCAAGGTCAGCCTAGCAAAAACTTTGTAAAACCCTATCTCAATCAATAACTGGATACAGTGCAGTGCACCTGTCATCCTAGGCTACACAGGAGACTGAGATCAGGAGGATTGCAGTTCTAGGATAGCTGGGCAAAAAAATTCAAAAGACCCCATGTCAGTGGAAAAAAGCTGGGCATGGAGGTGTTTGCTTGTCATCTCAGCTAAGGTGGGAAACTTAAAATAGGAGAATCAAGGTCCAGGCTGGGCTGGGCAAAGAGCAAGGCCCTGTCTCCAAAATAACTAGAGCAAAAGGGGCTAGAGATGTGGCTCAAGAGGTAGAGCACCTGCCTTGCAAGCAGCAAGTCCCAGAGTTCAAACCCTAGTACCACCAACAATGCCAAAAATATAAGCATAATCAGTATACATTTTGAAAGGAATTTATATTAGTGTACATTTTTATTGTTACTAAATATTAGTACTTATCAAGTGCTAAAGATAGTTTGAAAAGCAGCCTGCTAGATCTGATGATTCTAGCCGGTTGTTTTAATAACTAAATAGCGTATTTCTGTTTAGAGACAGTATAGGTATTCTTGGTGATATTATATAGTTCTTCAAAGAAATTATGTATTTATATCCAGCTTTGTACTTTTTGGTAAAAATAGTCATAACACTTTCAAAATACTGATGAGAAAACGAGTCACAATAAATGCTTTGGATTCTCAGGATAAAGAGATGTACAATTTTCAGAGTTACAGCATCTGTCTATAAAAATAGTGCAATTGGAATATACTGTTTTAGTAGATACTCATTAAGTATAACTTTAAAGCTTCTTCTTTTTCTTAAGTTTGACATTCCAGTAAACTATTAAGGAAAGTCCTTCCAATTGCTTTTCCTCTAAGTGTCTAAAAGTGGGAGTGCATTCAAATTAAAAGCAGAAAGTCCCTTAAATTCCTCTCAAGTAGTCAATCCATCCTGTTAGTGCCACTCCTAGAAAGACGATGGCTATTATTGCTTTTAGCTGGAACAAGATTGCAAAAGACTTCAAGAAATGGAAATTGTAATGGAAAGTTTTCTGTCACTCCTACAGTTTGTGTGTGGTCCATTTGTTGCTTTTTTTAGGCCATTAACATTTTTTTTCCACCAGTAAGTCCTATCTCTAGAAGTAAGTATTTGACAGCGATTGTTAAAAGTGCTACGTAGTGATATGTTTGTATCTAAAACTCAAAAACTAAATTTTAATTTCTATAGTAATGATAATAGCTAGAGAGTGATAAGTGGTAAACTAAGCATAATTATATGAAGTACTTTCTCACCACAGATCCTTTCTACACCTATTGTTTTGTTTCAGTGTTCACAATGCTCCTGTGCTATTTGTTCTTTTTTCTTTTTTTCTCATGTTGGGGATCAAACCCAGGGTCTCATACCCACTAGGCAAAGACTCCACCACTGACCTGACCCCCAGTCCACTTATGCTGTTTTATAGATAAAGAATTAGAGACTTAAGAGTTTGATGTGTCTTCCTCAAAGACCCACAGTCAAGCTGTGGCTGGGTTGAGACTCAAGGCCAGCTCTCTGTTTCTTTCTTTCTTTTTTTTTTTGGTGAGATTGGCATATCAGTATCTTACACATTGCATATATATATTTTTAACATTCTAGGTTTCTCCTCTGCCAACCCCTTTTGGATCATCACTGCCAGCTGAACAAACACAGATTGTGAATCTGAACCCTCAACCATCAGTCCTGAAACCCACCATGAGCTCTCCAGTGCAACCGGGTTAGTCTTGTTGTTTTGTAAACTGGTAACAGACTTTATGTGAAGGACGTTGCTTTGTGTTGCTTCAAACTAAGCTATTGAAATCATAAAGGAACATTTTTTTTCTGATGAAGATTAATTGATATGATAATAAATTTAGAATTTTGCATTCTATAAGTAATCCTCTATTAAACTAATTTCCTTTCTTGACAATTTCATTTCTGTTATTGTTTGAGCACAGGATTTTGATTCTTCTGTTTCTAATATGACATTTAGATAGAAGTTATGAAGTTATAAGTATTATACAGGAATCTAATTTACACCCACAGTCTTTCTGACCTAAGATATATCTATTTGCTTTTAAATTATGCTGTGGGGTTTGGGAGTTGGCTTGTGGATTGACTCCACCTTTGTCTCTTTATACACAGGAAGGATATTTTTCCTCCCCACCCTTCTTTACTTCCACTCCTGTTTCCTATATACGTATTTAATAGTAATCTCAGCACCTGCTTCCTCCAAGTCCAGAGTGATATGTGTGGCTCGTGCAGTGCTGTGATCAGCACAGCCAACACCCATTCCTCCAGGGTGTTGCTTTTGGAACAAGTTTTGACAAGGATGAACTAGGGTCAGATCCCACATGTTGGTCATAGACAAATTGTAAAATAATTTTCTGCTTGGATCATTATAGAAGTATTTGTTTGTATATGTTCTTTAGCATGTTGGTATATGTGAGTTATCCAACTCTGTAGGTCAAAGCTAATATAAGACGATATTCAGAGATCAAAACAGAAAATTTTGCTGAGATTTTTGATCTCTGGAGTGCTGCATCCAGATTAGCTGCTCGTGAATTCCACTGTCTCATCAACCTTGCTCGACATTTTCAATAGGTGCCAACTTGTATGCTGAATTTGGAACTAGAAATTATAGGAAAGTATAACTGTGATTCTAAAGGATGTAGTGAAGATAACCCCAAGTCTTTAGTCTGATTCATAATTTGGTGTCATGTCATCTAGTTAAACAGAAGAAGACTTACTTAGGCCTGTCACTTCTAAGTACCTGTGTAGTCCATTACTTAGAAAGTTTGTTGAAACAAGTCTGGGATGGGGCCTAAGAATTGTAATTTTTCCTGGTTCTCTTAGGCAGCTGCTGCCGCCTCCAGGTCATGCTTTGAGAACCACAAGCCCAGCCTCTACACCTGTTCCTCATTCCCTTTCCCTCCATCCCCCTTGTTGAAATGTGTTCTGTGAGCTGTGTTGCTCACTGCAATTATAGTATCGTATTATGCTTTCTATTGAGATGAACTGAAAATAATGTCTTCATTATATATTCATATATAAAGCATTTACAGATATAGTATGCATATTTATTTTATGTTTCAAAATTGCATAGTATAAGAGAGGCATTTAATTAAGAGCCATTGTGGTCAAATATGTATTTTCTTTTTCTTGTGGTAATATTTGGCAACTAGAATTAGCCATACTCTCTCCCCAAAGAATATTGATTTTATAATATTATTTTGTAATATGAAAGTATCATTTGAGACTGTTATTTTAATGAGAAAGTTCTTGCCAGCCATGGTAATTTTTCAACTAGGAGAAGGGGAAAAGTGGGGAATAAATGAGACAACTATTAAATGAAGTTCATTTGACTTTAGGGTCACTAAAATTTTCTTGTGTACTCTTTTTCTTATACATAATTCTGCTTGGTTGAGAACATCACTATACAGAGGTCTCAGTCAACTCTGAAAAGATTTTATGAATGAAATTTGCAATTGAGAAATGTCATAGGAAATGGGCCAGGTGGGCAGGAGTCTCTTCTATTCATTGTAAGCAATAAACTATGATCAGGGCCCTGAAATGCACTTTTTGTGTATAAAAGAAAATGTTCTTGGCACAAATGTAAAATATTCTTCTGCTATTATTAGCTGGTATCTTATGGTGCCATATATATTCTACTTGTCAGATATAAATTGATCATTTGACTTAGAAAAAGCATTCTTATGTTTCATTTTTGTTTTTTAACTGTCTAAATAGATAATTGAATTGGTATTATGCAATCACCATCCATTTATTTTGCTCTTGTTCCATAACTGGTTACTAGGAGGAGTTGTGCACCAGAAAGAAAAATAGACTCATTTCAGTAGTTCCAGAAATTCTTTAATACTTATTGTGTTAGACCATTTGTGTTTGTCATGAAAATTCATTCTGGGGTAGAATTCTAATGTTCTCTATATTGACACCATTCTCAGAAATGTTTCTTCATCCATATTCAGATATAGTTGATATCATGTACAGATTATTACTGTCTTGATCATGTATTCAGTCAAATAAGTGCTGATTTTTGTATATGGGATTCATTGATTTTTATTTTAACCTTTTTACCTAAATAATGTTCTGAATTAAAACATTGGGTATTCCTTTGTGTACTGAAGAGCCTTAAAGGAGGGGGAAATTGGATATGCTTGGCACAACTAACTGTCTCAGTTGTACTATTCATTCATTCATTCAAAACTTACCAGAGGTCTGTTTTATGCCAGGCAGTAGGATAACCAACAGGCACACAAAAGAGTGCTAAAACATGTTTTTTACCCCATAGTCAAGACCCTTCAGTGGGAAAGACAGAAATGTTAATAATTTTAGTTCATTTAGTTTCTTAAGTATTTTAATAAATATAAGACTAGAAATTCATTTTTTCTGTAGAGCAGTATGCATCCTATTTCTTGGTAATTTACTTTTTTGAGGATTGGCAGATCTCAGAAGGAAGAACTTTAAGGGTCATATAACTTAGTATTTCCCAAATATGTAATATAATAAAAATCACTTGGGACTCTTGTTAAAAATACAGATTGCCAGACTTCTCCCGCAAAGAGTCTCACAGTGTAGTCCTAGTATAGTGGGAGTTGGGTACTAGGTAACATTTTACACATTGCTTTTCACCTTAACTTGGTAAAGTGCAGAATTGCACATAATCTGCAATCTGTTTAATCTGTTTAATAGCACTAGTGTTTCTCATTTGGTGACTCTATGGAGACAAAAATATGTTCTTAAATCCTCTCTCAGTGTTTTTTTGTGAGCTAAAATAATTTAGTTATTTTGATCTTTGATGGTAAATAAGTAAAACAACTTAGAGTAGGTAATCATCTTTGGGGAAAATTGTAGGGTCTTAAGTGTATTCTCTGTTATCTAAGGGATTCCTGTTTTATGGGGAGGTGAACCAAATAATTTTTTTTTTTTCATTACTGGGGCTTGAACTCAAGGCCTACATCTTGAGCCACTAACCCTTTTATGTGATGGGTTTTTTCAAGAGAGTGTCTCACCCACTGTTTGTCTGGGCTGGTTTTGAACCATGGTCCTCCTGATCTTTGCCTCCTGAGTAGCTAGGATTACAGGAATGGTATCTGGCTCAAAGAGATTCTTACAGTATATGTTTTCTTCAAGAGAATTTGAAACCTATAATATTTCAGAGCAGAGTTTTAGTATGACCCAAGATTTTAGAAAACATGATTTGAGCCTAAACACTTAGATTGGGTTATATAAACCACAAAATGATTTCCTGTTACTTTTAATTTTGACAAACCTAACTTTTATGTTGTAATTTTGTTGCAAAATCATCCAAAGGAATTTTCTAGACATAGAGTCTGTGTGAGTGATCCCCCTAGGCTTGTGCAATGCTATGCCCTTTAGGCTTTAAGGTAGGTTTGGAAGGTACAGTGGCCATAACTGTGTTGTAACGTCCTATAATACTAGTTTTTCAAGCTTATTATACAAAGATAGATCATTTCCTTTTTCTTCATTTACCGTGTGGGCACACTTACATCAACTCTTCAGAAGTCCATGTTATGTGAGAGAACCACACTATATGTGCTGAAAATTTGTATCAAGACCTTATATTCTATTCATTTTTTCATGTTCTATTTATTTTTTCATTGGTCAATCTTGAGCAAAGACTGGTTAAGAGATTTCCCTTCATGCCTGTTTTACTAAACAGCTACATTCTCTTGTAGAAATGTAGAGTAGATTTAACTAATGATCACAAAGTTCTTTGAAATATAAATTGTTATGGAAATGCTAAGTAGTATAAACAATTTGAGGGCAAGCATTAATAAGAGCTTCACTGCAAGCATTTTTAAAGAGAACTAATAAAAGCTTCATGGTTCAATTAATACAGCACAACATCGGGTTTTCTGCAAGCATATGGGACCCAGAAGGCCTGCCCCTGTTTTTAAAATTTACGAACTCTTTAATGATTCACCACTTTTGCTTCAGTGCCTTAACCACTGTGGTGCCATTTAGTCATTAAGTAGGAAACTAAAACCAGGACAAAGTTACAAACAAATATCATAATGTCCAAGTGGGCATATTTCTTTCAGTTTTTTCATCATGTTATCATAAAAAATGGATATGAGATGAAATAGAGCCATAGGACAAATCAAATAGGTTATGACTTCCCCAGATGAGTATGATCACTGGACTTTGTAATGAAATGCAGGTCAAATCCTATTACAAGAAGCTTTATATAACTAAAACATTTTCAGGCTCCCGGCCAGTTATCTATTTCAAATAGCATTCAAGAACAACATTCCAAGATAATAAAATAAATTAGTCCCATGAAGTTTGTTGTGAAAGAATTTGGCCACAGGTTACAGTATGAATGGGAAGCACTACATGGTAAATTTATTACGTATTGTTTTGGATTTTTTTCTTTCTACCTGAACTTCACAGTTAAGTTCTTTTGGTATTTCTAAGTCTAATTTTCTTAATGTGATATTCAAGATTAAAATATAAGTCAGAGAAGGCATTCTCTTCATTTTTCAATTCCTGAGGAACAGTGCTTTAATAGTGAGGCATAAACCTTTTCCCAAAATGTTCAGTTTTAGTGTTTTGCACACTTATTTGTTCTCAAATGGTCTTTTCACTACTTTTTGTGGGTGATTTAATTTGTGTATTTCTCACTGTTTTCATTATTATACTACTATAAACAAATCCCATAATGTAGTTTAAACAGAAAACAAGGTTATTTAT